CTTACCGCACGCCGCGCGCCTAGCGACCGTAGTCTGTAGGCGGTCGTATCTCAGCCGTGCGTTCGCATTCGGTAATCTTTAATAATTAATATCTCTTTAACCCTTGTGAAAATTGTAAAATGGTACAGGACTTTTCGGTTCAGTTTGGTCTGCTCTACCGGCATATGGCCGCTGTGTCAAAATTTTTGGGACACCCTGTATATATAGCTTTGTACTGTTACCGACATGTTCATATGACAGAAATTCTTATGCAGCGTCTCAGGTGGAGAATCGATGAACTATTAGGCGTAAAAAAATGACAGGTTGACTACCCAATTTATTCTTGCGTGCCATTTCGTTAATATTCGTTAAATGTTAGTGATATAATATGTGACGTGTTCATGAAACCTGTAAAATTGTCCGAAAACTAAGATTAGCAGGGAAAGCCCAACATAGAAGGAGTATTTTCTACTCATACAGACAGCTGTCAACCGTGTGTTTCCTCGCATAATTAGGCTTCGTTTCACGGTTGATTTAACGATTGTTTATAACCTGTCAAGGAAAAAGCATAGTTTTCGGACAATTTTACAGGTGTCTTAAAGCGATCCAGAGTGTTACTTTGTTAAATTATTATTTTATTTAGAAATGGCACGCAAGAATTCTCGACGTGTCATTTCTCGCTTCTGACGTCACGAATCTAATATGGCTGCGGTGACTACCCAGGAGCCTTAAGAAATTTATATATGTTGCATGGATCAAATGTGTTACACTATCCAGGAGATATGATTCTATTATGCAAGAAATAATTCAAGAAATTAATTCAAAAAATTTGTCAACAACTTATACTAGAATTCTTCATAATTGAATTGTTTATCGAATCATAAACTGTTGTTCTTCCGTTTTTCAAAAATATTTTGTAATATGAAAATATAGACATTCAACTTACCATTTGACCTCGATAAAAGGAATAATTTTTTAATTTTGTTTCTATAGCTTCAAGACTATTTTCATCCTTCAATGGTAGATCTTGAAAAATATCGATTTTTTCTCTTTCTTCCATTTCAAAAATTCTTTTAATTGAAAATTTTTCTAAAATAAGCTTTTGGTTCATGTTGATACCCCACACGGAACAAAAACCTCTAATAGATATCCACTAGATGTCCATCATGGAGATTTGAAACCTCTATTAGATATCTATGTAATCTCCTATAGATGTCTGCTAGACATCCACAATTCCGCATTACATACCTCCATTCGACATCCATTAAATATATTCATAGATATCATATGGAGCAATCATAGATGTTCCATAGATATTTCATAGAGCTTTGATGGATTGTAGTTTCAATTCGTCATTAATCAAATTATTTGGCAGTAAAATCACAAATATGATTGCGAGATAGTCTTGTTTATGTAGGTGTTAACAGAATGTCACGACTGTGAGACAGTCGAGAACTGTGAGACAGTCGAGAACATGGTGACATTCTGTTAACACCTGCATAAACAAGACTATCTCGCAATCACATTTGTGACTTTATTTCCAAATAATTTTATTAATGACGAATTGAAACCACAATCTTTCTACTAAACAGATTTGTAACGTTAGTAGTGAAGCTGGCTGAATGATCAGCCGAAACGTTTGACATCGACGATGCCTTAACAATATTCGTTACTATGGATACTTCTGTCAAACATCGATAACAGATGTCTAATAGACATTTATGATGGATTTATATCGTCATTTATCATGGAAATAATATGGATTTCTAATAAAAACTTATCTAATATACATCGTAGAGATAGATGTAGTGTGGAGTTATGGAGATTATATGGACGTCCATTGGATATTATGTTCCGTGTGGGTACGATTTATTTTTAATTCCAAATTAATTAGTTTTCGAATTACAAATCGTTGAAAATTTTTCGTTTCTAAAATATTCAAAAGAATTTATTCATGTATGTGTAAAAACAAAAAAAATTTTTTTAAAATTCTACAAATTAAAAATATGAAACATGTAAGATAAAAAATAAAGATAAAAAATATAACGCAAAATTGCTCCAGACACTCAAAAAAATGATCTTGCAATAATAGCTAAAATTTTCTAGGTGTAAAAAATTAACTAAAACAGATAAATGATTAGCAACTGTTGTGATATCGCATATGTAATTACTTAATCAGTTTAGATGACAGAAACAGAATATATATCTGTATTGTTTGTGAATTTTAAAAAGAAAGTTTCTCTAAAGCGCCTATCTATATAAGATCAATCACGTGTTAGATCATGCAATGAATAACATTTAGCAATGGCACCTAAATTTTTCAGAAGCTATTGCTAGAACATTACTGCTATAAATTCTGTATGTGACAAACAATGTTTTCACAGATACGAAAAATAGCGATACATTCTTGTTGCGATATCTAGAAATTTAACTACATCAGCGAAATATTTTTTTGAGTGTTCTGAGGAAATAATCATCGATGATATATAATTATCAAAAATTAAAAAAACGATCTCATTCTACATATTACACCAATCTGCTTACC